ATATATATATGTTTTTTGTTTTTTTTTTAGCTACTCATTTTTGCTCTTTTGTAGTATTTTTTTGGTCTCCACTTATTTCTAATTTTTGTTTTCTTCTAATTTTAGGTTTCGTTTGTTCTTACTTTTCTAATTTCTTGAGTTGCATTGTTAGTTTATTTGAAATTTTTTTTAATGTTGTTATTTATTACTATGAACTTTCCTGTGAGTACTGCTTTTCCTGTATTCCATAAGTTGAGTTTCCATTTTCATTTGTCTCAAGAAATTTAAAAAATTTTCCTTTTGATTTCTTGGATGGCTCATATTATTTAGGTCCATGTATTTGTACTTATAAAGTTCCTTTTATTCATTTCTAGTTTTATTCTGTTGTAGTCAAAGAAGATATATGATTTTGATTTTTTTAATTAAAACTTATTTTGTGTTCTTCTTACTGCAGAATGTTCTAGGTAGTTGTGTACCTTTTTATATTCTGCATCTCTACCCAAATTTGCCTTCAATCACTATTTTCCTAGTCACATTACTCATCCAGGTTCCACAAATCCATCCTGAGTCAGAAATGGCTCTACTTCTTTTGACATTTCATAATTATGATTCTGCATCACTCACTCAGCATTTCTTACAAACATTGCACATTTTGTTAATCTCTGTGTTGGTAATTAGTATTTTCAAATATAATTGTTTAAGATAAAGAACAGTAATATGGTATGCTATGAACCTGTGTGTATTTTTTTAAGCCACACTGTCTTCTGTATTGTACAATGCTTAAGTAATAATGCCTTAGTAATGCATCGTGAGTGACTATGGGCAACCATCAGATCATTCAAGTACATGTTTCTTTACCTTATGCAGGCCCTGAACTGTACTTCTTGCTGTTTCGTACCAGTTTCTCTGGAGATCCAGGTGTTGTGGGCATACATAGGCCTTCAGTCCAACCCACAGGCTCATGTGTCAGGAGCCCGATTCCTATACCACTGTCAGCACATACAGGTAAGTCATGACTTCTGCAGAACCATGAAAGCCTTACAAAGTCTGTATTGACTTAGCAGACATTTGATTCCTGATTTTTTTTTTTAACTTCTGAAAATCAATTCTGATTAATTTTCAAGCATCTTCCCTGCTTATTAAAATTAACATAACCATGGTGAATACAAACTATATCCATTTTTCCCAGTGTTTTTTTTTTTTAAATTCCTGTCCCCAGATTATAGTATAGGGTAATTTCTTTTAAATAATCCTACCACTATTGTGGTGTTAATTGATTCAACCAGAGAACACATTTTCTGTAATTATGTGTTCACTGTGACGATGACACATTTGTTAGAGTCTCTGAGATTGTAGATTGCCATTAAAATTACTGGTACGACTAGATTGTAGTCACCAGTTCATAATTCTCTGAATTCCACTGAATAAATGCCTTCATCTGTAGAAAATGTATATTTATTAGAACTTTTGCTTTACAAGTGCAAAAAGCATGTTAATTTCCTTTTTTCTAAAAATGATTAGGTCACAGTGAAATGATTCAGGTATGAACTGGTGTGTTAGTTTATTAACTTTAATGAAAAGTAAAACAGACTGAAATTCCAGTCTGTTGCATTACATTTACATACCTGAATATATATAAGCTTGAGACTACATTTAGGTCAGAAGTAAAATATCTTTAGCTCTCCCTCAAAATGGAATTAGGCAACTTGGTTCTCTAGGCCCACAGTTAGGGTTAGTAGAAACTATATTACTAACAACAGTCCATTATTTTCCTAAGAAAGAACTTCATTTAATGTTTCACAGATCTGGCACTGAAAACATTTTCAAATTTTTCTAAACCATATCTTATTTATGAGTTCCTATATTTTTGGGGAAGACACCTACAGGAATGTTCTTTATATTTTTCAAAATTTCTGATCTAGAATTAAAGCCACTCAGTGCCTCTTTCCTATAGATATTTTAGCCATCATCTTTTTTTATAGTAGTTAACAGAAGTTTTCTTTTCAAATTACTTTGCCTTTCCTACAAAATCACATTTTACATTCAGTCTACCTGGCCCAAGTAACAGTTAAGAGTTTTAGTTGTGCTTCTATTATGCGTAACTGAAGAAACATTATCTATTCCAATGATGAAGTAAATTTCTCCTGAATTTATTGAGAAGTGTGGTATATACAAAACCAGTCCATTTTGTGGAGTGTTTTTTTAAAGAATTGGTGAAGATAATTTTGACTGTGTAAAAGTTTTTTACTTTATGGCCTAATTTGACAAGCTTATCTCCTTGAAAGATGCTATGCCCTTGTAAAAGTGTAAGGAGTTATGAAATAATAATGTTATATTACAAGAGTTAATCACATGCAAGTACTTCCTCCTAAAGACAATTTTATCATCTATATAGATTTTCTTTTATCATCTTGAATGGAAATTTTCTCCAGAAATCATATAAACATACTTACTTTTTCTTTATCCCTTAATTTTAAATCACTTTCTTATCCATACAGGTTTGTCTCTCAGGACTTCCTGTGATTTTTTTTTTCTCACAATAGCAATAGCCCCAGCCTCAGGTGCACCACCATGCCTGAGTGTTTTTAGTGATTCTTTATTGTATGGACCCCATTTAGAATCTGTTTAGTTACTGACTTACTAGAAAAATGCATAACACTCCTCATGTAGCTTCTGGGGCTTTCTGATTTTCAGAAGCCAGGCCAAGGACCTCTCCTATAATCTCATAATTGAAAAGGCAGTATACTAAGAAAGACAACACTAAACAAAATAATTTAAGAATAATTCAACATTAGATTTTAGAAATAATTGCTTCAAAGTGAACCAGCTTGGAAGTATAAGAAAGAGTTCTATATATCTCTTTTCTATGGGTGTCTTAGAGAATACCAATTGACCCCTCTTCCAAGAAGGGAAATCAGTGTTCCAGCAAGTGAACTTGACCACCAGCACTATTACTAAAGTTTCTGTTACTAAAGTCTTTGTTTTTTTGAAACATCAGTCACTATTTTCCATTATATCTTTATGAGTTATTAGACAATAAAAGTATTTTTCCCTTTCTGGGCTTCTGTTTCTTAATACCCTTTATAGAAGAAACTCATCCAGTTTATTGAGTTTTAAAATTTTTATTTTATTAACTTTTTTAAAAGAACTTTTAAAAATTTGCTCAGTGTTCCATGTTAAAACATGTAACCTAACATATGAACTTTAACCACATTTCTTCTGTAACATTCTCATTGTCTGTGACTCATTGAAAACCCTGATACCTCTTTAAAACAAGTGAGGGAATATTCTTCATCAAATATACATCTGTCCCTAAGAAAAAAAATGGATAAGCCAGGAGAGATCACACTTGCCTGCAATCCCAGCAATCTGGAAAGCTAAGACAGCAGGATCACCAATTCAAACCTAACCTGGGTAACTTGGCAATTTAGTAAGACCCTGACTCAAGATTAAAAGTGCTGGGAATGTAGCTCAGTATAAAGGTTCTGGGATCAATCCCCCACTACCATGCCCCCCCCCCCACACAAAGATAGTGAAATAGACAAATAATGTGTACCTTACCTGGAAGAACATTTTATATAAATAATTATTTTTCAGAGATTATTATTCTTAATTTTACTTTAATTAAATCACTAGCTCTCCTAAAATTATAGTGTTAATATGTAGTTCTTCAAATGGACCTATAGATACAGTAAAGATAGATTCCGAAAAGTCCTAGTGGGCATTTTTATAAATTGACACTGATTCTGAAATAGACATGGAAATGAAAAGAACTTGGAATAGCCTTTGAGGACTTAAAATTTACTGTACATTCTGACAATGTGGTACTACAGACAAAGAGACCAATGGAGCAGACGCAAGTGTCTAAAAATAGGTCCACAATCAATTCAGTGGGAAAAAGAAAAAAAATTGAGTCAGTGCTGGAACAACAGGATAAAACTGGAACTACTCGAAAATTATAAGGGGAAATGGAATAAGAAGCAAAGTCCAACAATATGTTGTATACAAGAAACATACCTAGTGCAAAAAGAAGCCCATAGACTGAAAGTGAAAAGATACAAAACAATTCTCCATGTGACAGGAGCCCAGAAAAAAACAGCGGTAGCAATGTTATTTGCAGACAAATTAAATTTCAAACCAAAACTGAATCTAGTGTTATTGATGTAGGACAGTACTGTATCATACCTCTATGAATGTAAAATATCTAGTACCTGCTTTATGATACATAGTAGGGACCGTGCTTTATCAGAGCTACATTTAATGATATTACTCTAGAATGTTCTCCTTCCAGATGATGATTAAGAGGCTAATAGAAAAAATGGTGCCAGCAAACAGAACTTTGCTGTTTTCTGGATATTATTCTTTTCTTTGTTTTTTTTTTGTTTTTTTTTAATGGAATGTGCTGAATGTCTATAATTTTGTTCAGATGACTGCAGAACCTGGAAAAACTTTTGCTGCTATCGATGCATAACATACTATTATTAGTCTTTTTATATAAATA